GTTCCCAGACAGCCCTGGGAGCGGCGGGGTTTAAGGAGGCCCCCGGTTCCTTGGGGAAGGGCAGGCTCAAGGCTTCTTGTAGCTCCAGAGTCCAGACGGGTTACCCCACCCAACAAGCTGGTGAGGGAAAGCTAAGGCAGGAGAGCGACCCAGCCTGTCCACTGACGGAGCGGGATGGGAACACCTCTGCCCGGGGGCCCGCAGGGACGCTGCTAGTTCAAGGATCTTCTAGAACGAGACAGCAGAGTGGCTTCCTGTAAGTGGAGATTTAATCCGGTTCCCATCATGCATGGACATCACGACGGCCCCTCCACTGCCCCAAGGCAGATGGTCTTCCGGAGGTCAGGCTGCAGCTGCCGAGCTCAAGGGCCTGGGGCCGGCAACCCTCTCTCCACACCTCACCCGTCGCCTATCCTTCCCAGCGCACGGGTTCCACACTTGTTTTCATGCTGAGGCGGAGGGCTTACGGATTTTTGTATCTTAAGATCATTCTGTGTTTATTACTTAACAGGCACTTTGCTAGGCGATCAAAGGCACGATTCCACAAAACGAGGTTTAAAAAATAGGTCAGAGCGAGCAGAATCTGGGGACGTTCCAGAACGCGAGCCACCGCCCCCAGTTACTGCTTACTCTAACAGGTCGGGGTCCTGGGTCCCCCCCCCACCCCACCCTCCGCCTCTCACAGGAAGTTTGAGCCTGCCTCCTCGGCACACACCCAGGGCCTAGCGAGCATCCAGCCAACTTCAAAGCTATGGGATATGGCGGGCGTGAATTCCCCTCCTAGCTCAGAGGGAATCAATCTTTCAGTGCAAACTCTCTCCCTCCTTTCAGGCAAAAAAAAAAAAAAAAAAGGTCAGGCGAGCATTCCAGGCGGCTGCCAGCTCCATCCTTAGTTACACTCTCCAATCTCCACCGGGCGGCTGCAAGAATTATCAGGAAATCATCTAGCAGTTCAGGTCTAGAAATTAAAGTCACCCAAACACACACCACAATGGGAAGTGAACTTTGCAGCCTGGGTCTCACCAGCGGGTTCCTTCTACCCTCCTCAGTTCCCCAGAAATACTCTCAAAAGCCCCCTCCCCCAAATTCTAGACATGCCTAAATACCAGATGGCTACTGAAGGTGTGGGCGCCACACCGGCAGGACGGAGGGGACGGAACGACGGGCCCGAGACAGACGCCCATTTCTTTTACTGTTTTCCTCTATAGATTCTTCCACTTTCCTCAGCCCAGGCCCTCAGCCAGTCAGTGGCCAGTTCAGAATAGGAAATAAAACGTCACCAACCTCCCACTCACACCCAAACTGATTTTAAACAAGACCTGAAAGTTTCCTCGAGACGAAGGGGGGTAGAATTTGCCAGCACACGCCGGATACTGGTACTTGGCTGGTTACTCGCATCATGGGGGAGACGAGAACCGTTCTGTTAATAGGTTAATATCGCGGGCTCACCTGCTAGAAACCAGGCATCTCTATTCCCGGTTCGCTCTCGCCCCTCCACCTGGCCTCGATTTCTCAATTTAGAAACGACACTGATAGAAGTCTTTGAAATCAAGAAACTGATTCAAAGCCGGGTGTCTCGGCCTGGGCGCTCCTGCCATTCGGAACCAGGTAATTGTTCGTTGTGGGGAAGCTGCTCTGTGTGCTGTGGGATGTTTAGCAACCGCCCCTGGCCTCTAACCACCTGAAGCCAGTAGCATCCTCTCCCCAAGTTATGACAACCCAAAACCGTCTCAGACATTGCCAAATGTCCCGGGGCGGGGCGTGGGGGTGCGGTGGAGAGAGGAGGGAAGGGTTAGCAACCCCTGACTGAGAAGCCCTGGTAAAAGATTACACCTTCTTAAAAATACCAGATGCTACAAGACACTCTGGGGATCTCCCAAAGGCCTGGGAGGGGTCTTGGGGTGTGGATGCTGAGTTTACGTACGTGGCTCTCTGTGTATCTCTGGTTATCTGTGTTTTGAAAACTAGCAGAAGCAGGCAGCTACCACAAGAATGGCCCAGGAGGGATTTTTGTTCTGTTTTGTTTCGGTATAATTGTCTTCACTTTCCTCAAACCTTAAAGCAGCGTTTCCCAACCTCGGCGCTACCGGCCTTCGGGGCCAGGTAATTTGCGGTTGTGGGGGGCTGCCCGGCGCGCTCCAGGATGCTGAGCTGCCCCTGGCCTCCACCGGCCACATCCTAGTCGCAATCCACCAAGCTGTGACAAGCAGAAATGTCTCCAGATATTGCCAGCGTCCCCTGGAGAGGCGGAACCGGCCTTGATTGAGAACCACTGTTCTATAGTAAGATAAATGCGCCCCAACCGTTTTGTGTAAAAAGGGGAGTGCGTTTACGCTTAGGCCAGAGAAGAGGCCAGTTGAGACCGACCGGTGTCAGGCACACTGCCTGTTCACATGGTGGAAACTGAGTAAATACTAATTATTAGTACACAAGACACAGTTCTCTTGAACAGATGACCATGCTCCGAGGGCACAGCAGAGGATGTAAGCGGTCTTCCTAAGGACGAGAAGAGAAACGCACACAGAGATGGACACGTCCAGATAAACAAGGGAGCTGCTGGAGGCCTGTGGAAACTAGCGCAGAAGAGAAGGGAGCACAGCCAGGGAGACTCCTGAGAGCACAACTCAACACAGAGCTGAGGCGGCGGCCAAGACGCACGCTCTCCGATAGGATGTGGCCACCGCAGCAATGCTTTGGGGCTGGGCCTCGGAACGTGCTGATAAGAAATTAATCTGAACCACCAGCTCACGCTGCACGGCGCTTTCCAGGTTTCCAGGCGCTTTTCATGGATCTGAACGCAGGCCATTCCGCTTCCCCGAGAGAAAATGCCCCGGTGGCCCGCCCAAGGGGGCCAGCTGCTTCCTTCAGCGGGGCGTGTCCGCTGGGGACGGTACGAGCCACCAGCATGGGCCCTCATAGGTGGGGTGTGGAGGGGAGGGCTTCCAGAGATCTGTCTAGGTGAGGGTACAAAGTGGCTCAGGAGCCTGGTGGCAGAGCAGTTAAGTTCATGCACTCCGCTTTCGAGGCCCTGGGTTTGCCGGTTCGGATCCCAGGCGCAGACCTATGCACCGCTTATCAAGCCATGCTCTGGCAGGCGTCCCACATATAAAAAATAGAGATGAGCATAGATGTTAGCTCTGGGCCTATCTTCTTCAGCAAAAAAATAAATAAATAAAAAGGAGGATTGGCAGCAGACAGCTCATGGTTAATCTTCCTCAAAAAAAAAAAAAAAAGAAAAAAGTGGCCCAGGAATTCTTCCAAGACCTACAGAGACATCGTTCCTGTAGGCCGGACCACACAGGGTCCAAGTTAGTGGGCAGCACTTCAAGGTGCTCTGTCAAGCACGTGGGGGTCCGGGCCTGCTGGGCAGGGTCTAACCCAGGGCCAGGTCACTCAAGTGCATCCTCCTGAGGCAAAGAGCTGTAGTGTCAGCAATGATCCTAAGTCCCTCTGGATTACGTCTCTCTTCCTCCAGGGTTTAGCCATCGTCTGGGGTCTACACATAGACCCCAAATATCTTTAGCCCCAGACAACCAGGAAGGTCATAACTTTTTCCCTTAAAGCACAAAAGGTCCCAGCTGTGTGCTACTGGGGACTTACCTCTCTTCCCTCCCACTGGCCCTCTCCAAACTGTGGGGACAGCTTGGCTGGCCAGCACGGCCCAAACAACTTCTAGGATCACCGCTCATTCCTCCGTGAATCTATCCACACAAACTCCACATCCATGGTTCTTAACCTGGGATGCGGGAACCGACAGGATTCAAGGAATCTGGGGCTTCTCGGATCTAAAATTATAAACCAAATTCTGCACCTGCCCAGTTTTCTGCAGGGTGGACCCACAGCTTTCACCAGATTCATGAGGAACAGGGCCTGAGCTGTCGGAAACACAGGGAAAATGCAGATATTCTTAGATTCAGCGTTCCGCTTCTGAGAATTTATCCTGTAAAACCAATCCCACTGGTGAGCAAAGATACTCACTGGCTATCTGTGGTAGTGGTGTTTGCAGCAGGAAACTGCTGGAAACCAACATCCATCATGAGACGGACTGGTTAAATAAATCTGGGTACACTTCGTGAAATCTAAGACCACATATTCATAAAAACATCTAAGAAGCTCTGGGAGCATGCTCTAGTGCAGGAGCCCTGGGGGTAGGGTAAGGGAGAGGGTTCCCCCCAGGGACATTTGGCAGCCACCGGACATCTGTGGTTGTCACGACCGCGACGGGGGTGGGGGGGGGCCTTCCGGAATGCAGCAGGTGGGGGCCAAGGATGCCACTCAACAGCCCCCCCCCCCCCAGAGAATGACCCGAGGGGTTGAATTCCAGCTCCAGTGTGATCTCCGAGACACGTTTAACAACAAACACAAAGCACCCAGGACCGTGTGGGCTATGTCACCACTAGGAGTGTTTTTAAAGGAAAGGTGTACCGGATCTTTGCAGAGAGACCCAAGTCGTCGGTGACCGTCCTTGTCTGTGGGGAGACGGACTGGATGCTTGCGGGACTGGAGTGGGACACTTGAGTTTTCACGCTAACCTTTCAACTTTGTACTGGGTCCATCGACAGCTTTCTTTTTCGCTTTAAAGAACTGCTCCGGACACGAATGCTCCCTTCCTCTAAGCTCTCAGGCAAGAGTCCTGTGTCGACAGCCTCGGGACTGTTTCTTCCCCTTCTCTCCCTCCGCTCCCCCCCCCCGCCACCCCGCGGCCCTGTTAGAGGGGAGCAAAGGCGGAGAGGGGTCCCCGTCCCGGGTCCCCCCCAGGGGCATCTCTGCCCCTCCCAGGGGTCTGCCCACCCTTCCCGAGGAGACTGAGCCCACAGGGCGGGCAAGGCCCCGGCTACCTCGCACGCAGCCCCCGTCCCTCCTGGGCTCTCCCCACTCCGCGGGGGACACGTGCCAACGCCGCCCCCTCGGCGCCCTCGGCCCCCTCCGGAGCCAGAGCCGGGTCGGGCCTGGCCTCCAGCTGCGGGCCGCCCGGGGTCCCCGCCTCGGCCTCCGCTCACCTGGCTCGCCTTGTAGAACTGCTTCTTCAGCCCCGCCACCGACATGCTGCCTGCCGCCGTCGGGCCTCCCGCCCGGACCCCGCGAAGCGGAGCGACCGCGCAAGCGCCGCCGACCCCCCGCGCGCCGCCGCGGCCCGGCTCCGCGCCGCCTCGGCCGCCCTGCCGCTCGCTCCGCGCCCGCCCCGGCGCCGCCTCTGCCCCTCGCGCGCCCGCGCGGCCAGGATATTACATGGCAACTGCACACTTCCGGGGCCGGCCCGCGCGCGCCCCCTGGCCCCGTCTGCGCACGCGCGCCCCCTGCCGGCCGGAGCGCGCACGCGCACTTCCCCTGCCGGCGGGGGGCGGTGCCTTCGCCAGCGAGTGGACCGGGCGAGCCTAGAGAGGCCGTGGCGGCCGCAGCGACCCCTGGAGTCCCGGAGGTGGTCCTAACGTCTTAGGAAGGGCGCTTAAACGTTTCTGGACAGGTGGGAGGCTGGGTTGACAAGTCTGCAGACACCTGTCTGCTAATCTCAGCTATGCCCAATTCCTCCGTGCGTTTAGTCCCTCTCACTGCCCCGCAACCCTGTCCCGTGTTCATCTATTCAGTTGCCCAAGTCACAAATCAAGGTGTGGCTTCTACCTCCTTACCCCCACGCTGTCCTCCCTGCCCCGCGCAGACCATTCCACCAGCCTCCTCTCTGGTGTGCCCACCTTCAGGTTCTCCCCTCCAATCCCCCCGCTACAAAGCAGCCAGAGAGATGCTTCTATAACACAGTTCAGATCACATTAGTCTCCTGTTTTTAAAGTCCACCTGCTGCCCTCAGAAACACTCCCAACTTCCTAACATGGCCTACAAAGCTTGCATCTGTCAACCCTTCTGACTTCGGCTCTCTTCCTCTTCTGTAATCTGTGATCCCTGAGCCTATGGGCCTGTGCTCACGTTGTTCCTCTCTTGCACATTCTTCCCCAATCCTTGCCCCCCTCCCATCCTTTGCACATAAAAGAGGACCCTGCTTGGCATGTCACTTCCTCCAGGAAGCTTTCCCGGATTAACATTGATGTTTCTTGATCTTGATTTTTTTAATCAGTTGCTATTGTATTGGGATGAATTGGAAATTAATAATGAATCGGAATGAGTAAACGAACCCCAAAAGAGGAACAAGAAAGTGACTAGAGCTAAAAGGCTTGCAACTTCAGTGCTGAAATCTCTGACAGATTTGGGTGATTGTCTGAAGCGGAAGTTTGCTGGAACTTTCCACATGCCTCAACAGAAGGTACTAGACTAGATCAGAGGATTGTTTCAGAATACGCATGCCCCATCCTCCCTCCCAAACATCCTGATGGGGCTACTACTAACAGTTTGAAAAAACTCTCCGAGTGATTCTGATGGGTACTGGTCTAAACCATTGCAGAATGCCAGAATGTCAGAGAAGGGAGACAACACATCCTCACGGTTCATACGTGACTCGCCCGGTGTCCCCAAATTCCCTATTTCTTCACATTGCTTCCAACCAATTCTCATTTAGTTATCTGCCCTATAGAATCAATAGAATTTCAAACTTGGGCTAAATTTCAGCCTTCTCTCCTCACTTCTGCTCTGCTTGAGAGATTAAATTGGCGCTGGAGAAAACTTACTCTGACGGTCTCTGTTCCGTGTCAGCCTTTTAAGCTACGTGATCACAAAGTCCAGTCAAATGATACTTATGCAATCACTCAAATATTTATGGAGCATCTACTAATGTATCAGTCACGAATAGGTCCTAGACATATACTGATGAATGACTCCTCCCTTCATGGAGCTAATGACAAAAACAGTAACTAATTCATGAAACAAATAATACGGTAGTAAATAAACCTAAGTTGTAACTGATTCAAGAAAAAGAACAGCGTTGTATGAACTTCATTTTGTTGGGGGTAGGGGAGGAAAGGCTTCTCTGAGATGTCGATCCAAGATCTGAAAGTTAGGTAGAAATTAGCCAGGAAAAGAGCTGCGGAGAGTTTTCCAGGCACGGAAACAGCGTGTGCAAAAATCCTAAGGACTAGATCAGAAACATCCATTTCATGCATTCCCCCTGATTCTATTTACTGTTTATGTAACGCTTCTGAAGCGCTGCCCAGAGTTTATTTGTATTGCCATATAAAAAGCAATTTGTAATTTTAATTGCTGTTGTTGTATTCAGCCGATGTCCAATTCGGATAAACTCACAACTTCAGGCTTCCTCGAAATCGCAGCTTCAGGTTGTCACCCGTCGCCCTACGTAAAACGCCTCATCGTGACGTAAGAGCCTGGTCCTCCCTCCTCCTACCGACCTATCCCACGCGCTCAGCCAATCACAGTGTCGAGCTCTCAGCTTGACACCTCCCACCCCCAATCGCAGGGCGCCTCCTCTCGGCCAATGACAGGCCGCCGAGAGGAAGCCCCCTCCCTCCGCGGGAATATCAATAGGGGAGCCATGGGAGGAATGGAAGCCTCGGCTCTCGCGAGGATGCTCCCGGCGCTGGCCTGTTCCCGAGGCGGGCCGTCACGTGACGCGGCCTCGCCCAATCAGCGCACGGGCTGCGGGGGTCGCCGCGGTTCCCGCCAAATACGAGCGCGGCGGCCGCGGCAGCAGCGGCGCGGGCGGGAGGGCGAGCAGCAGCGGCCGCCGGAACGGAGCCCGCGCCTCCGCCGCCTGAGGGGAGCTCGAGCCGCCGCCGGAGCGATGCTGGAGGAGCCGGAGTGCGCGGCGCCGGGCGCCAGGGCAGCGGCGGCAGGTCGGTTCGGGCCCGCGGCCGGGGGAAGGGGGCGCGCGGCCTGTGCGGGCCGAGGCGGAGGTCGGGGGCGGACGGGCCTCCGGGCCCCGGGCCCCGGGCCCGCTCCTCGGCGCCGGGCGTTCGGTCCGTGGGGCCGTCCAATCCCGAGGAAGGGCCTTGCGGCGCGGAGGGCGCGCTCCTTGACGTTATTGTTGCGGCCGCGACCATTTCTTTCCGGCGCTTTTGCGTCAGTTCGTCCTTCCAGGGCCCTGTGCCGTGACGGGTCGGAGCGGCCGGGAGGGGAAACTGAGGCCCGGGGAGGCGAAGGGGCCGGCTCGGCAGGTTACTGGGTGCGTTTGGGGCTCCTGAGCGAGTTGGACCCTGCAGCGGCCCTCTGGCCGAGTGGGGAAACTGAGGCCCGGGGTCACACGGGCTCGGGAACTCGAGCGGCTGCGTCTGCGGGGCCGGGCAGGCCCAAGGAAGAGGCCGGACGGGGGGATGGTCAGGGAGCCGGGTCTCCCGGGGTCTTGGTCCTGCCGGGTATGCAGGGTGACCTGTCCTCTCCCTGTGGCTTGGGGGGGAGGGCTTGCTAGCACCCCGCCGGTCCCCGAAACGTGGAAGGCAAATCAAGGAAGACCCGATTGCCCCCCTCCCCTGCCCGACTCCCATTTTCTCCCCGCCCATGCACGGTGCTTGGCACATAGTAGGTGGCCGAGAAATAAGTGTCGGTTGAATGAATAAGGGTTGGCCGGGACATCCGTTAGTCTAGTCCAGGGTTTCTCGACCTTAGCACTATTGGCATTTGGGGCCGTCCTGTGCCCTGGCCTCCACCCCTTGGAGCCCCATAGCACCCCCTCTTCCCCAGTTGTGACAGCCCCAATATCCAGGCATTGCCAAGGGACCCCTGGGGACCAGAATCTCCCCCCACCCAGTTGAGAGCCGCTGCTCTAATTGTTTCCAGACTTTGGGATTTCACAGAGGCATAAAACTCATATAAATGAAGTTGGGACTGATGGTCAGGGACAGTCGTTTGGCCCAATAAAGATGTTTAAAAAGCACCTCTTGCTGCGACGGTGCTGTCATAAAAGGAACGAATGTTTTCATGCCAAATAACACGGGGAGGGGTGTATCTCAGCACTCAGAGCATGGCGAGTTTATACACGATGCGTGTTCGTTGTGTGTGCGCCTTCCAACCGTCGGGATCCCTGCATGGAGCCCCTTTTTATGTCCACCTGAGGTTGCTTCGCAGCCTAGGTCACTTCTGTCCCACTTGCATCAAAGCTGGTGACTCAGGGCCATGCCAATGGATCCTTGTGGTTGTCCTAAAAATAAATTTAAGTGGCTAAAGATTATGTATCCTTCAGTTAAGGTGGGGCAGGAAATCCATGTTTTTGATAACTGAAAACTTGAGACCTATATTCTTTTGAAATGGGTAGAAAGGAAATGCGAGTCTTCTGGGTACCTTTCTTATATTCCAAGCTGGGAAGCGGGGGAGGGCAGTTTCATTTATGCACAATTGAATTTTGGGGTGGTTTTTTTTTTTTTAAGATTTTATTTTTTCCTTTTTCTCCCCAAAGCCCCCCGGTACATAGTTGTATATTCTCCATTGTGGGTCCTTCTAGTTGTGGCATGTGGGATGCTGCCTCAGTGTGGTTTGATGAGCACCCAGGATTCGAACCAATGAAACACTGGGCCGCCTGCAGCGGAGCGCACGAACTTAACCACTCTGCCACGGGGCCAGCCCCTGGCGTGGGTTTTTGTTTTGTTTTGTTTTATTTGGCGAGGAAGATTGGCCCTGAGCTAACATGTGTTGCCAATCTTCCTCTTTTTGCTTGAGGAAGATTGGTACTGACCTAACATCTGTGTCAGTCTTTCTCTATTTTGTGTGTGGGATGCTGCCACATCGTGGCTTGATGAGTAGTGTTTAGGTCCGTGCCCAGGATCCGAACCTGTGAACCCCCAGCTGCTGCCGAAGCAGAGCATGAAAACTTAACCACTACGCCACTGGGCCAGCCCCCAGTTTTTTAGAAAGCCTCGATCTGCTTTTAAAAAATACTTGTGTGTATCTTTTTAAAAAAATACGCAGATTGCCCAAAATAACTAAACTAGATTTTCTCCAAGCCAGAAGTAGCAGGTGTGAGCTTCTAAATTTATTCTAGCCGTTTAAAAATATTTATCCAAAGGCTCGGTTCTATTTATGGTCATTTCTGCATCGGCTTTGATATTATTAGATGCTTTTCTTGAGATTTCTTTGTGCAGGAAAAACATTCTCCCTTCTCATTTCCTTTTTTTTTTTTTTTTTTTTTTTGAGGAAGATTAGCCCTGAGCTAACTAACTACTGCCAATCCTCCTCCTTTTGCTGAGGAAGACTGGCCCTGAGCTCACATCTGTGCCCATCTTCCTCTACTTTATATGTGCGACGCCTACCACAGCATGGCTTGCCAAGCGGTGCCATGTCCGCACCCGGGATCCGAACTGGCAAAGCCCGGGCCGCCGAGAAGCGGAACGT